GGGCCACTTGGCTCGTATGCAGACTTTACCTTACCTTACCGATAATATAACATATTCTTTCAGTGATAACAAACGACTGTTGAAGGATCTCGAGGACACTCTCCTTCGTGAGCTGGCTACTTCTCAGGGGAACATGTTGGATAATGTTGAACTGGTTCAGACTCTGGAGGACACTAAGACTAAGGCTGTCGAGGTAAATCATTCTTCTGTAGATTAGTTATGTCGTGCGCGCAGTCGCTAGACACATTTCGGATAGAATGTTACTTGCGTGTATTCTGTAGTTTGATCTTTTCTGATACGGGTATGAAGATGTTCGAAGAGTTCCTAATAGTTTCTTCGAGAATAGACAGTCCGTGATCTGCGGCGGATTTTATTCCCCGGGAGGTACTCCCAGAAAAACTGGGTGGGGGTGTGTGGCCCGCTTCCCAAAACCCTTACCCTGTTTATGACCAAACTCTACGATTTTCCCTACCCTATTAATGACCTGACCAAACATTCGATACCCTATTTATGACCGTTGTGGCATGTAAACCTTGCCCTAAACATAAGTTATGAAGGGCTTTTGTCGATGATCTTATCGATAATGATGAAAAAGTAGCTTTTTCTAAAAAAACCACACCCAATTCAAGACCAGAGTGTGAAAACCCTAGTACCCTATTGACGACCGAAATGGCCAAAATCGATACCCTATTTATGACCAAAACGGTTGAAAAACCATACACTTTAGGGCTGCATATACCTATATAGCCCATATAAGGGAGTACCCACTCACCGGGATCAATTCCTAAACAATAAGAAGAATATTCTTGTAACACTGCAAACACGACATCATTTGACGCATCTACGAGTCCTCCGTTTATTTTTTTGCCTGGAGGAAAAGATTCCTTGGCTCTCTCAATGCCTCTACATTTGAATTTCGGAAGCGTGGTTTGCTAGACTGTCTTTCTGTCTCTTTTTATAATTTCATTTTGAAGATCATTTCAGATTCATCGTTGATTATGTACATTTTTCAGTCTTCTGAAATCTGCAAAGAATCTTATAAAATAAAACTTTCGCTTGTGTTGTCTGATGTTAGCTCAAAGTAACTAGTTGGGCCCTGTATCAAGTAAGATCTACATAAAAACACATGTAATAGTATTACTGTTTTTCAGGTCGCTGAGAAGTTGAAGCTTGGTGCCAAAACAGCAATCGATATCGACAAGCTCCGCGATGGTTATAGGCCAGCGGCTAAGCTAGGAGCCGTTCTGTTCTTCGTGTTATCGGAGATGTCAGCAGTGAACTCTATGTACCAGTACTCTCTCGCTTCGTACTTACAAGTGTTTGACTTGTCTTTGAGGAAGAGTTTGCCAGACTCCATTCTACCAAAACGACTCAAGAACATCATGGACACTCTGACTATGAATGTGTACAACTACGCTTGTACTGGTAAGGATAAACCTTAGACCGATTTCCAATGATTTTGGAATAGGACTAATCACGGTTTTCGACGCCATCTTGACGGGTAGGCAAAGCGGTCGGAAATTACAGTGTTTGTTTGGGAATCGGATGGCAAATAACTTCTTTTAAACATTGAATTTTGCACAGCTTATGAATTGCAACTTTACCTTACTAGGCAGCAGATGGTATTCACCACATTTTGAAGGACGTAGTCGGGATAGAAGACACTCAGTTATTTTTTAGTAAATATTATACTTAAGTTTTGGTATGTTTTTGTAGGTCTGTTTGAACGCCACAAGCTCTTGTTCTCCTTCCAAATGACCATCAAGATCATGGAGGCTGACGGCAAACTAAACCCAGAGGAGCTGGATTTCTTCTTAAAGGGCAACATCTCTTTAGAGAAGAGTTCTCGCTCTAAGCCATTCCCCTGGATACCGGAACAAGGCTGGGAAGATATACAGAGACTGATGACTGTCACTCCTGAAGCGTTCAATTCGTTATCTGATGACATAGAAAAAAATGGCAACGAATGGAAAGAGGTACAACGTTAAATACAGAAACACAAATTGCAGAGTGTAGTTTTAGTTTTTATTATCATTTTAATGTTTCAGAGTTGGCGTGATGTCCTCTGGATGTTGCCAACGTAATAATATTTAGATTTAGATTTAGATTAAATCTTTTCTTGGGGTATTTTGGCAGACGTTCTTACGTATTGTACGTATGTGTTAGCCCATCGCTCAACCTGTGTTGGGATTCGTGTGCCGCAGTCTTCTCAGCTGCACGACAGTGGAAAGCTAGTGGGGATGGGAGTGTGAGAGATAAAATTTTTCAAGTTCGTCGTTTTTAATCCGCGTTAATCTTCTCCATCCTTAAGCATCCTTGTTCCTTTATTTGTAATTATTATCTGTTTGGGGTTTTTCTATTTTAGTAAACTATTATTTTCAGGTTTCAATCAATTTAAAGGTAACTATCAGTAATAAAAATGTATAATAATCAGTACGTGGAAGTTATTTTTCATATTTTGGTCGAGTAGGTTCAATCGTGGTTTAAATTCTTTTTTTTGTCTCCAGTGGTGTGATCACGACTCGCCGGAATCCGCCGCCTTCCCCGGCCGTTACGAGGAGAAGCTGACAGATTTCCAACGACTTCTTCTTTTGCGTTGTTTCCGTGTGGACAGAGTTTACCTGGCCATTACGAATTTCGTGACAGGAAGAATGAGCGAGAAGTACGTGACCCCGCCCGTGATTAGTTTTGAGGCGATATTCGAACAGTCCAATCCGTTCTCGCCGATCATCTTCATACTCAGTCCCGGCTCGGATCCCGCCAGTGATTTGATGAAGCTGGCTGACAGATCAGGCTTTGGTGGCAACAAGCTGAAGTTCCTTGCTATGGGACAGGGACAAGAAAAGGTAATGATTCGTCTGAAACCATCTCATGTTGCAAGAAAAAAAATCAAACAATTGTGTTAGGTGTGGAGCTCAAATTTAGGCGAACCAAGGAAATTAAAGGGCTTTTGCAATTGCAGGTGACCGTCCACTTTCAGGTTTGCCACAGGCCGGGAAATGGTCATGGAAAAAAATTCGTCAAGGTCAGGGAAAAGCCAGGGAATTGATTTTGAGTGGAGAAAAATTGACATTTTGAAGAAAATTGAAATAATTTAACACGGCTGATTCAATACCGTTGAAGGCTATAGGAAACATTTGGGGTCACTCTGATATCAACGACATTTTTAGCTAATGAAGAAGGAGAATTTGTTGAAGTCTTAATGAACGAGTGGAAAGGACGGCTGTAGGTTCACGCTAGAAGCCGCTACTAGATCTGGCATTATTTTGTATCTATTTGGTCAACGAAATTTTACTTTTATCAGGGAAGTCAGGGAATTTTGAAGTGATGTCTGTGGCAACCATGACTATATAGTGTACAGTTTTGAGTATAGAGCTCTATCTGCTACATTCATACTTTTTAACTTCTTTGTGAGATAGTTTTCTCTGTGCTTGGCAAACGGTCGAGTTAAGTTTAATATTAACAGAAATGCTCATTATATTTAAGTTAATAACGGCAACCTAAATTCAAATGGAAGAAGGAAAGTTCTGTTAGCACGTGCGATAGTTGGCTCTCATATGGGTGCGACTATGCCTGTGACTTGCAACACACCAACAGAAAGATGCGGCGAAATTGTAATTGCTTGTCAAACGTTTTAGGGAGTGGTACCTAACGGTGTGGTCATCTTGCCCAACCTAGTAATTAAAGAACTTTCTGTATAGATTTGTTGCTAGCCCGAAACACATGACTCTCGGGGATTAGAAAATAAGTTGTTAAGTACAGGGTAGCTCATAAACTGCAGCGTTTTGCAAATCTTAATTTGATCTTGTCCCGTATTTTTATAGTTGGCTTTACAACTGCTTGAGACGGCGATAGCTCGAGGTCAGTGGCTGATGCTTCAAAACTGTCACTTGCTGGTGAAGTGGCTGAGGGAACTTGAGAAGGTCCTGGAGAGAATCAGCAAACCACACCCTGATTTTAGGCTCTGGCTCACCACGGACCCAACTCCGGAGTTTCCTATCGGGATCCTACAGAGGTCCCTCAAGGTTAGAACTGGTAGAAAATATATGAATGCTTTAATTTAGATGTTGCAGAGTAGGTCTAAAGAACCAAGATGATCCTGTTTTTATCATTGTTTCTGTCTGACGTGTCTCACACATGTGCTTTCCAGGTTGTTACTGAGCCGCCAAACGGTCTGAAGTTGAACCTGCGCAGTACTTACCACAAGATAACCAATCAGGCGCTTGCAGATTGTCCTCACCAGTCCTTCTCACCACTAGTGTACGTCAAAAGATTTTATAGTACATTTTATTTCTTTCAGAAAACACCGCGACGAAAAAAAGAAAAAACTTTTTATTTTGTTCGTCAAAATAGAAATTCTCTTTGCTTGCGCCATTATTGCGTCAACTTCTCGTCCTAGTTCTGTGTTTCTAAGGATCTTCTAGCGTTGTATCACGAATACCGGTCTCTGATTGGCTACGCTACTCACTATCTATTCTGTTGTGGATAGTAGGTAGCGTAGCAGTGTGCGCTCATTAACAAACTCGCGGCCGCTTCCTTGCGTTTTCGAAGTGTCTGTGAAGAGGATTTAGAAAAAAAAATTGAACGACTAGTAGATTTATACTAAAACAATTAGATTATTCGCTGTCGATTTCTATAAGTGATAGTTGACTCGGGCTGCGCCCTCGTCAACTGTCGCGCCAAAGAAATCTCGAGCTCATAATCTAAGTTGTATAATAGAAACACTGGTGAAAGTTTGGGAGAACTCGAGAAAGCTGTGGAAACACGAGCCGACAACAGCATTTCTCGTTCTCTCAAACTTCCACTCGTGTTTCTGTAACTCGATAGAATCACGCTACGCGTTTTCTATTTCTTAAATAATGGTACAGGTAATGTGAGCTGATTTATGCACTGGAGACTTAATTTCCGTGAAGAGAGCGATAGCAAACAATCGCAGCAAAACTGCTGGCGTAAATCAGGATGTATTGTTCTATGTATTGATTGGTCAATCTAAACACCATAATAACATCTGAACCAAACCATCTCTGAATATGCACTTGTTTTTCAAACAGGTTTGTGCTGGGTTTCTTCCACGCTGTAGTCCAAGAAAGAAGAAAGTATGGTAAGATTGGCTGGAATATCGCTTATGACTTCAACGAGTCCGACTTCAGAGTGTGTATGACTCTACTCAATACTTACCTGACCAAATCACTGGAGAGTCCTGATAAGAAGATCCCTTGGGCCAGCTTGAAGTATCTTATCGGCGAGGTGAGTATTCTATTTGAAGGGAATCATCATTCGTAATGCATGTCAACTACTTATTAACCGAGAGTGAGGTCTTTATGGGAAAGCTGAGCGATAGCGAGGTCTACACGACAAGGCCGAAGTTTGAGATTTTCCCGTAAAGACTGAACGTTCGAGGTTAATAAGTTGTTTATTATTTGACTTTTTGCTTTGGTTTTGCAGGCCCGCAATCGGCCTGTGCGTATTACGGGAGTATAATGCCCTAGAATTAGCCAATCAGAGCGCGCGTTATATCGACTAGAAACACAGGCCACATAATAAATGAAGATAATCATACTTGAACTGCGAGTGAGAGAATTTTAGAATAACCATGTCGTCGAAATTCCGAGAGTAAGCAGTAAGTTGAGCGATTGTGCTTGGTGCATGGGAAGCCTGGAAAAAATTTTTAAAAAAAAATCAATATTCATCGAAGGTTGAAGCGATGACCTTTTCGATGCCAGTGCAAACATGGGCTTTGCCACTGAGCTTTGAAGAAGCTGGAAGTGCTAATTTTTGTCAACTGACTGAAGAGACTGTGCGTTGGATCCGAGACCGTGCTCGATTCCCTGCGGTCTTGGGAAAGCCACTTTACTTTTGCAGTGCCTTCCTCCACCCAGGTGTATAAATGGGCACCGACTGACTGTTAGGGCAGCCTGACAAAGCACTGGAGTAGAGGGTGAATCTGTGATAGACCAGCATACCAAGCAGAGAAGGAGTAGCAATAATACCTAACGTTGCTCAACTGACGAAATCCCGGGGGGTACTCCTATATATAAAGGACGAGGGTGCTCGTCGGAAATTTTGAAAAGAACCCCTAAGAGAGGTACCAAAATCCTGTTTTGTGGGCGTGGCTTGAAATTTCACACAACAGGTGCCAATTCTAAAACAACACATTTTCTCCTAAAAACTCTTTTTCCTTGGTCATCGTAGCTTTAGAATAAACAAAACACAAACCGCGGTGATAAACATGGAACCAAAACGTATGTTAAACAAAGTTAATTTCCTTGACGTTTCGTATGTACAACATACATCTTCAGAAGTGACCGTTAACTAGATTACAATCGAAATTTAAACGCGAAGAAAAA